TGTTGGTTTATTCTGCTGCTTTTGTATTGGATGTTAAATTCCCAGTTTCAGTAAACCATTACAAAGATCTACTGACTCCCGTTTATTTTGAATGTGTACCAAGCTAGTGAAGCTATTGGTTTACTTGCAGTTGGAGCACAATTAGCTATTTTATAAAATAATTCACTACATGTGTCTCTATTTCTTAATTTGCTTTACAAAGTTAAGAAACTAATATTTAAGTCAACCCTGCCTGATGCCTTTCACAAAAGAAGAATCCCAGTCTGTTCCACACAGTGAGGCATACTGTTTATTAGGTAATAAACTGTTTTTATTTTAGTATCTGAAAAATGCTGATCTCAGCATCCCTATTGCAAACCACAGATAAGGATACGATGTGGAGTTCTGGCTAAAACACTAAGCATCTGTGACCTGTACTGTTGATGAGGGAAGCAATGTCTGACGAAATTGTGCTGAAGTGAGTCGAGACTTGTGGAGAGTCAAAATGGCCCTCCTGGGGCCATAAAGCAAGAACTAACCCGTCTATCCATCAATGTCTGCAAATCCACAAATGTCCAAGCCATTTGTGTCCATGGTTTTGAAATGTACTTCAAATAAAGACAAATCATCTGCCAGTATTGTCCAATGCAAGCCATTTTCATGAATCCCATTTATTGCAATAAGCAAATGATGACAAATGTCACCATGGGAAAAAGGGATTGATTATCTCGTTGTTTGGTAAAACCACCAACCTCTGTGCCCAGTGAAAGACTTTTCAGTACTGCTGGGGACATTCGTTCCCACACTCGCAACCTGTTAATGCCGAGCATCCTGTTTTCCTGAAAGGAAACTCTCATTTCATGTAAAAGGTTAGCGGTTATAGGTTAATTTAATTATGATGCAGGAGATGTGTGTTATTTTACTGTTTTAATCATATAGCCTACTGTTATAAACGAAACAACAGCCTACAATCCATGTTTGAGTAAATGTTAAATAACATTAATTTCAGTTAAATTACCAAACATATTTTGATAAAAAAATAAGAATAAAAACACTTTTCTTTGCATTGTTGCACTTTTATTGAAAGGTTTTGCTTTGTATTTGGGGGTAGCCTGCTTTTGATTATAAATCTAAAAGGCTAATATTTTTTTATATTGATTGGATCTTGGGATAGCCTACTGTATATGGTAATTGTCAAAACAGTTTTTCCGACTTGTCATCCTGGTATGATGTTGCCTATACTTTTTTTTCTTTCTTTCTTTTACTTTTTTACAGTTAAAATAAAATAAAAGGAAAAATACACTGTTGTGTACGTTGTTTAATTCATTCATGTGTTTACTGTGTTAATGGACTGAGGATGGGAGTAGGATTCGGTATTCAGTTCGGCAGAATCTTAAACAGTGGATTTAGTATTCAGTATTATCTGACTATGCATTTATAAAGTCATCTTTTTTACAAATGTGCACGGAAAACAAAAACTATTGCAACTTTTGCTTAAAGTATGGTGCTTGTTACCCCCTTGTTCCATGTAGTTACAGGGTAAGTGTGACATTGCGGGCTGTAAATTAACGTGGTGCTTGTTACTGTCGTAGTTACAGGTTAAGTACAATAAAAAATGCATACACAGTTTTATATCACTGACTTGGAAACCTTTATTTATTATACAAGCACCACTTACCATGTAACCACATCAAACAAGATATATTTCCCAGTATTTAAAAAAAAAAAAAATTGCAATAGTCTTAGCTTTTCTTGCCTTGAAACATGTAAGCCCAAACTTAAACATCTGCACTTTTGCTATCAAAAATAAATAAATAAATAAATAAAAAATAAAAAAAATAATTCTATAAATGCCTATATATGTACCCTGTCATTTTAAAAAGCCTATACAGTATGTATTGGTACACAATTATTGCAAAAAGGTTTGCAGTGCATGTTCTTGCTAAATTGCTAAATTGTTCTTGCTATATTACCCCTTAGTTCTATAATACTTGCAGTATAAATATATATATTTTTAATTCTCCTGGTTGTTATCCCTTTATTCCCCAAACTTTACCCTTAAATTACATTAAAGTACTTTATAGGTACACTATTACAGAAAGTTACACTGTAAATTCCTCTTAATTAAACAGTACACTCCGGGCTGTAATCTAATGCGTTGCCATAAAAAGATAAAAATAATCAATTTTGGACCCAGTCTTGAGATATTAAAAGGGATACAGCTTTAAAGAGAATAATGCATTGTATCACATCATGACACAAATTGTAAAGTGAAAATTAGTGGTGAATGAATGTGTCTATTTTCAGTATGGATGTGCTTTAATGACACAAAGCTAAGCCTAATCAAACAGACAAACAATTTCCTGCCAAGCTTTGCAATAAAAATTGTATGTGAGAATGCAAGAGATTGAAGTTTAAATATACTGTCTTGATTAATGTTCCATTTTCAGAAATCATTAATCTAGCAGTTGGCCAAACTTTTTAGGAGACAGTTACTTATGACTTTATTACAAGGTAATGGAGGTTCTGGGGAAGCAACGGAAAGTTCCACAAAAAAAAAAAAAAAAAAAAAAAAAAAAAAACCTACTGTAGTAGAGCTATCATAAAGCCACTGTGAGGGAAAGGGTAAAAACATGTCCAGTTGTTATTTGTTCCACATCAGCTAGAAATGGTTTTCCTTCAATTAAGGTCAGCTGTTGAATTGTGCTTTATAAAAGCCACCTGTATACTTGGAGAGCAATCACAATCTAGTCTATTTTTGGATTGCCCCCATCTGTGCTTGAAGCACCTATAAAATAGGCAATTTTACAGGTGGAACCGTGAATCAGTCAGCTGTGTCTGAGAGATAACCGATCTGGGCATGTGAAGATGCCTGCAGCTTGACAGCCTGGTGGATTGAAGGACCACACAGCTCATGTCATTTACTTGGAATGAAAAAAAGCACTGAGAAAAAGAAAAATCACAGGAAACCAGTGGCTTTTGCTTTTCAATTTACACTTTTACTTTAACAATTTGTTCTAGCATATCTTGTAACAAAGCAGATTGTTATGAAAAATTGCAAAAAAGTAATCATGAAAATTGTGATTTGTTTTTTTCCCTCTCAAAATTTTCAACAACTGCTGAACTATGTTGCTGATGTGCTCAAGGAGAGGTGACATGCTGTTATCCACAGAGAAATGCTACCTCTAATTGCTTTCAAAAGCCATTTCCTATGATACTTGGCCGCAGCAGAAGTTCATTTGCATCCTATGAAGAAGGTGCCTTATTTTTTCTATGTGCGCTTGCCAAACAGGTCACGCTTTCTAGCGCTAATTATCCTCTGAGTCATTATTACCTGTGCATCATAGCCCCACAAAAAAGTAAAAATAGACAGAGAACAAGATGGAGAACTGTACTAAATAACATGGCAGGCTCGCACTGTTTGCTGATTTTCCTCAAATGCAGAAAAGGCACACCAAACTTTTTTAAGGCTATTATTTTTGCTTGTTGACAAAAGTTTTTGGATATATTTGATTCCGTGGTTCAGCAAATCTAGAAAGCACATTGTCAAAGCATTATAAGATAATTCAGTTTTGAACTTGATCCTATTAGTTAGGGTAGGTCTGACAGCTAATGGAGGGATTTAACAAGTTTTTTTTTTTTATTTCTTTGATAATTGTCCTGTTCCAGAGTCATTCCCCCAGAAAACGAGGACAGGTTTAAATGTTACCAACTGCAACAAAATGTATATATATCCAAATAAATGCTGTTCTTTTGAAATTTATATCCATTAAAGAGTTCTGAAAAATTTTATGCAGCACATAATAAGCAATATTAAGCATTAATAATCAGTCCCTCCAGAAAAACGCGATTATGCGATCGCTGAATTCAATGCAAAATCAGCCAAAGTCCGCATATTTATGCGGGGGCCGCATTTTTTCAAATACGCCACACTTTTGCCGCAAAATATGCCGATTTCCGTGCAAAATATGCGGGTTTGCATAATTTCATAATCCTCGCATTTTCGTTGCAAAAAAAGTCACATGTATCTTAGCAGAAAGTTGAAAAATGTTGCGTTTGCTTCACACAAGAGCAGCCATTTCCCCGTTTCCATGGGAACGTTATGAAGTGACGCAATTACGCGACGGCAGACAGACTCACGGAGGCGATTGACATCTCACAAATCGAACTCGTATAACTGTCTGTCACACATTCTACCGTCACATCGTTACTTAATAAACAACATATGATAAAAGAAGTAGCATCAAACGCACATGGGGTGTTCGAGGGGCACATATGACACTGCAGAGAGCTCTTAAAGGGGCCACACCTTATTTACACTCGTTACAGTCTGAAATAAAACAAGATGAGAAATTAAATATTCCCAGCACTTTCTATGATGTAGTATGCTTGCTTATCAAAGGAAGTAATAAGAAATGACTCTTACATTAGCCGAGTGAGAACAGGATGTTGGGGGAATCACTTTTTTTCTCTTTTTCATCAAACCGCAATTTTTGCAAGTTCCCTCAATTTTTGCAAATTCCTGCAATTTCATCGCATGAAATTGCATAAATATCCCGCATATTCCATCGCATTTTTAAAGAAAACGGGCCGCGTAATCAATCAAATTTTGCCCGCAACAATCACAAAAAAACTACACATTTTTCTGGAAGGACTGAATGCTATTATGGTAAATGTTATATATAAATCGCAAATTTTTTCACAAATTTTTGGAAATTACCACCACAAAATCAGTCATTTTGATCGCAAAAATCACACAAAAAAATCGTGAAATCCTGGAGGGACTGAATAATGAAACATGTTAAGTTCTTATGTTACAAAATCATTATTTTAGAATCATTTCTGAAGGTTCATGTAACACTGAAGACCGGAGTAATATTTCACAATTATTACACTGCTTTTACTGTAATTTTGATCAAATAAAGGCAGACTTCTTTCAAAAACATTACAAAATCGTACCGACCCCAAACTTATGAACGGTAGCGTATAATACAAGCAAAATAAATACAACAATGTCTTACCTGTTTTAACTTTTTCAGGTCTTCATCCAACTCAAGATTGTCCAAAATAACAGCCACAAAAAGGCTCAGAAGGATCTAAAACACAAGAGCATTTTGAATTTACAAAATGACCATTCATTTTTTTAGACCATTTTTTTTAATCAGACACGCATCTTAATTGAACGTCTGAAGGTCACAGCAACTTAAAAGACATAAACATGGTGATGTGGCTTCAATAGTCTCAGTCATTCATGGTCTATAGGTGTATTGTGCTGACAGGTGTTGAGAAATTGAGAAACTGCCATGCAAACGTGAGTTCTGTCCAAGATGTAGTTCTGAACCCAACAATAAAAATAATGTTCGATAAAAGAAGTGTAGTGGCCATGCCATGTCAGTGAGAGAGAGAGAAAAAAAAAAACGACAAGTGTCACCATGAACAGCACACTGTACAACAGGTACTGTATATAATGCTCAGGACAACAACAAAATAATAATTTACAGTAGATCAATAATGGATTCAGAGCTAACTGTGGCTTAGGTGTTATCAGTGCTTTGATATTAAATGACAAACTAAAGCTGTCCTCAAATGCATTAGGCGTTGCTTCTTTTCTTTTCATCATATTTTCTTTTTTTTTTTTTCATGACAGGAAATGAATAAATGATTCAGCCGTGTCTTGATTACATGCTCGATCTGTTCTGTCATTAGTGTGCGCTCTCATTCAAATGTCAAATTTAAACGGCTGCGCCTCACTCACTCAAACTTGTCAAAAGAGCAGAGAACATTTTGTTCTCCACAGAGGACATTTCCAAGAAATGGTAAACACAAATCTATAGTACTTCACACGCAAATATGTTGTAATGTTGGTAGTGTGGTGCGGTAGAAGCACGGGAAGGAGGCTGGATCCAAACGCACATGCTTTATTAACTACAAACTTAGACAAGGACTCAGAATCAGGAGCGATCAACGTCAACATCAAACATTCAACAACTCACCAACTTAGGGCAGAAACACAGGGCTTAAATAATCGGACAAACGAAACGAGCTAGGCAAGGTAACAAGGGGGCGTGAGTAATAAGAAACACCTGGAATAATAAATAGACAGGGAACCACTGATAACAAAAGGACAAGACACAAAACCACATTATGACATGTAATTATTTTCACAGAGTACATGTGCATTGCATTGTGAAGCTTTATCATGTTAATAAACTGCTCCATTGGTTGGTTCAATAAACAACAACAACAAACAAAGCAGGTAAATTTGGATGCCGTGCTTTCTTTCACAACTGTTTACGTTCACTTAAGACATAAATGAGTGTGTTTACTTGCAAATTAGTTTATTAGTTACTCATTTTGATATTTTTGAATGCAAAAACCAAGCGAACGTCATAATTTCACCTCAGACAACAATATAATAAAATTTAAAAGGCCAGTTCATGACCCCTTTAATAAAGTACACAGCCACTCGCCATACACAAGAATCTGCTTAAAATACACAGCAAGTGCAAAATTGACACACTTGTGAAACAAAAACTAAAGCCCGACACTGTCAAAGACAGCATGCTGTGCTGGAAGCGGCTGTATTTCTACAAAAAAAATTAAAGTCTCTCTGCTATTCCAGACTATCTGCATGGTTAAGGTAGCCCTCGGCCGTTCCCTTGAAACGTGACACTCGTCTCATAGAGAAACAACCGGTATACCATCAACAAGTCACCAATGGCTACCAATATTTGCCTGTAAAATCTGTAATGGGGAGTGACAGGGGCCGTGATGTGGCTGTGAAATGCCCCAAAGACGTGTTTTTTAAAGATAAAAATATGGGTGAAGGGAATGTGTGATGTCAGGTGACAACTGGAAAATACATGTGTGTTAGGATGTTTTCAGAGGCACTTCACTGTCATTTTTCCTAAGCAAGTATTGTTCCTCTTCTTTCTGTTGATGGCTGGGAGGCAGCAAAGGAATTTAACCATATCTACTCCATACACTACTTGAACCAGGCAGTTTTTCAGGCTACAAGCAGTCTGATATTCACAAAACAAACCAGGATTTTCCCCCTTGAGGTTCTTATAGTATCTGCTTAACATACTGTCAGTAGCAGGCAGTTCTCAATATATGTTCTACAGAAAGTCCTACACACAGACTGATCGCCTTTATTCTCACTCACAAAGTACCTGAGTACTTTAGACAGCAGCTCGAGTGCCGTATCTCTTCAAACTGCACAAAACTGGCCATTAGAGGCTGGAAAACTGCTCTCACTAACATCCAACCTGCTGCAGGATCTCTGAATATGTTCTCTTGATGGGTAGGTAAGCCAGAAGATTAAGAGAAGGAGAGGAGGATGAAGGATTATTCATTTTCTAACAGTCTGGTTGGCTCCCAGTGGCATAAACACAAGCTGTCTTCATTTTAGATGCATTTGCTTTGCTGCTGTGTCCCTGAAAACATAGTGCATGTGCAACACATTGAACTGGGGACCTTTACAAGAAGCCGAAAAATAATGGCAAAAGTGATGAGGAAGAACAGGCTTCACACATCTTCCATCACACACTGCCAACTATCTTATAAGTGTAAATCCCATGACCACATGCTCTCAAAGTTTTACCTAGCACCAAATATGCCAGAGCAACAATTGTGAGCTGATACGTCACCTGTCATTTTATTTAATTTGATTTAATTTTATTCAAGAATTACATTTTAAAAACCCAATATCTGTCCAAAAACCAACCCTCATTCACGCAACATACACAGGAGCGTAATAACTGTAATTACTATGCAAACTGTACAAATATACCAACAGACTCTTCAAGAATTCTGTGAAACCGTAGCGGGGGACCTGTACACAGCCAGCCAGGATATTTCCATCTCAACCACAGCCAGTTGCAGCTCTGCGTAATTTTGCCAGCTTATCTTTAATGGCCATTTGTAAGAGATTGAGTCCCTCCTTCTTACATTGTTCTGCTCTTTTTCAGTGCTTCCTCAGCTGTCTTCTTTCTTTAACTAACCCTTCAATTTTCTGCTGCCGTCTAGACATTCCAGGTGTAGATTGAACCTTTTCATTCCTTTTTTTCACACCAGACCTCTCACTTCCATATGCGTACATGATGTCCCCAAATTTATCCAGCTTCTTTTCAACTGTACCAGTTAATCTTTCCAACGCAATGCAAAGACCTGAGTTTACCGTATCTCATGCAGTTTTCTCACAAGCTCTTGGGCATCTAACCCCAGGCCTATGCCCGTTGAGGTTCTTTTCTGTCTTATGCAGGTTAGTCTGACTGGGTTCACAAGTATCAATACGTTCATCACTAACTGTGCCAACACTCCTCTCCTCTATGACAGGGGTTCTGATATCCTGCGAGTTGTGGTTAGCTTCCTGTCGCTATATTTCATTCAACTGACTTGACTGACTTTGTACTGATCTGATCAATGTACAAGTACTGATCAATGTGAGGCCCTTGTCCCTTCTCCCTAAAGCATTTCATTTTCCCTTGATGAACCTTTAAACCCCTCACCATTGTCACCTTGCTCCAGCCACAGACACAAACTTGGAGTTCAATGACTTTACTAACTGCAGATCTTGAACTAGTCTTACAAGATCTTGAAGACTAGTATGATAAATCAAATGTGTAAGTATCATAAACTTGTCAATAATCAAAAAGCTAATGAAAAAATCATATTGGGCTTTTGTCGAGGGAGCCAAAGTGATGCTAACTTCTGGGTTGGCCGACAAAAATACGTCATCATCGCAGCACTATCGAAGCCCTTTTGTTTTATCTTATAGAAAAAGTACAACAAATTCTATTTACCAGTGTGGCAAAAAGGTGGTAGAGAATGAAGTATATGGCCACGATTGGAGCCCACATCGGTCCCACTGCCACCAGCGTTTGGTCCATGACATCCACCCAACCCTCTTGAGTAAGAATCTGGAACATGGACATAAATGCCTGCAGGATAGAAACAGAGAAATGATCAGCCTGTTTTCTTTTATTATTTCACTTTTATCAGAAAATAACAATATGTCCTTTCTTAAAAACACTTCAAATAACTCAAAGAACTTATAGCAACCCCAGTCAGTCTGGATACGTGAAGGAGAAAAAAAAAAAACGTTTAAAAGTTAATAGGCATAACAGATGACAAACATGAATTTGACAGATGACGTTAATTGTCCTGGCTCTGATTTGACCTCTCTAATCACCCAAACAAAATGGAAATTTGAAAACTAACAGAGCAGAGTAACAATTTTGCGTTTGTTGCTTTTCTTAAATATATTCTCATGTATATACAAGGATTTTTGACTAATGCAGCGACAAAAATAGGACGAAGCAGAGCACAACATTCACTGAAATGGATGCAAGATACACACACACACACAAAAAAAAAAAAAAAAAACAGTGCGTCCTCGGTCCCAGAATCCTATGGCGATATGAGACCACATTTTCATGGTTGTTTTTCCCTGGAAGTCAAATGAAGGTCTAAACTCAGATGGTCTCAAGCCTGGTTACAGTCACAATGTCTCTGAGTGACTGCAGATGAAGATAATTTTGCAACAGGTCTATTGACAAGGGAACTGGGTAAACATCATTATCTTCAATGGTTATCGTGCCACCCGCCTTGGAAATGAGCGGCATCTGTTTATGTGAGCCCCTCCAAATCCCAGTACGCATTGGGATCAGTGGAGTCCCACTAATAACGGAGGATAAAAAGACACCACTAATGAGAACCCCTCTCATGAGCACATAGTATCAAAAGAAAAACTGGAAGAGATTCTTGTATCTACTGAAAAATTAGGTATTATAATAGATTAAGAGATTTTTTGGTTTCTGAAATCTCTAGCTTTAACCTGTGTTTTTCTGATGTGATAATTGTAAGTATTTTAACATTTGAGCAATGTAAATCACAAAAAAGATTTATAGAATACCAAAATGTTCCAATCAAATGTCACAGATTTCAAGAACTTAATTTTGTTCATCCAAGACCAATTTATTTTAGCATTTTGTCTTTTGATCCACAAGTACATTCAGTGTATCAAGAAAGAGGTAGCTTTACCCGTGGAAATGTTGTGAAACGATCCAAGTCTTCTACAAAGCAGAACATCTGCAGACTGATGGCAGACATCACTATGAGCAGACTGGCAGTGAACACCACTAGACTGCCGAGTTTCTTCCCTGGACCGAAGATTTTATACACAAAATCCTCTAGTGCTGGGGAGATCTTTATTAGACGAACCACTCGCAAAACCTGCAGGAAAGGAAGCAAGTATTTTAATTTGAGGTATTTCCTACTTAATATTTACTTAAAAAGCTTCTTAGAATAATAAATCAAGTGTTAAAAGCACTAACCAACTAATATATCCGCCGAAACATCTCTTTACACAATTTTGGCACAAATACCATCATGAAAACTTTCACAAGAAGAAGGGCTACAGAGCATAGCGGTGTTTGTTTCATTGATATTTAATGAGAAAATGCTGATATTGGAATCTTCCTCAAGTAACTTGCATAGTTGCTCAAGCAGTTACTAAATTACTCTAAGTGACAACAAATTTGAGCAATGAAGCATTGATACTAGATTGAGTTTTTATCAAGAACAGAGATTAGATATTGATCCATTTGCTTCAAGCAGAGTGCAAACTGTTGTTACTTTTAAACCTAGAAAAATCATCCAGTATTCCTCAGGAGAAGGTCTTTCTGCACAACAAATATTTGTGAGAAAGCCCTAACCACGCCCTCTGAGTGATCTGTATTATACGCTGCTCAGCCAGGTATGGCCATGCAAGGCCATGCAAAATTGACAGCTGAGTTACAAATCAGGTCGGCTGGTATGTTATTCAACAATGTATATGTTTTTTTCTCAGTGCGTAAATGATTACGGGTGAGTTTTCGTATATATATTTTGTCTTTGTCATTGATATTATTGTTCTGAATGTCAAATTTGCTTGTAAAATTAACACATTTTAAACTGCGTCACAAGTAAAACCAAACCATTTTCATATCAGCTCAAAAATGATTATAGTTATTTTAGATTATAACATATGAAGAGTTCAGATGCAAAAGCCTCTAAAGGCCATTTGAAATTTTCTTCTTTAATGATGATTTTTATCAAACTTGTATATTTAAGTTCAGTAATTTCACTTAAATAACAAAGTGAAATTACTGAACTTAAATATACAAGTTTGATAAAAATCATCATTAAAGAAGAAAATTTCAAATGGCATTTAGAGGCTTTTGCATCTGAACTCTTCATATTGTACTCACTTCCTAGTTACAGATCACCAGGTTTGTTCAATATTGTTTGGAAATGTTGAGCTGCGTTTAAATCGGCCCTGGTTAGCTCTGGTAGACTGGTACCAGCGGGGGGTGACGATGGGAGCTGTCTCTTATCGAAATGTCCTCTCAACGCATGCTTTTAACTTAGGTTGGGGTGCTCTCTTCGAGGGCAGACCGGTCTTTGACCTGTGGTCAGACTGAGAGAAACGCCTTCATATAAACTGTCTCGAGATTATAGCAGTCGAAAATGCACCGAAGCACTTCCTCCCGTTCATACGGGACCACCATGTTCTAGTCCGCTCGGACAACATCTCGGATACCCGGATGAACACGATAATGCAGTCTAGACCTGCTTCTACGAGAAGGCTTTATGCATCTAAATGGTCTGTGTTCTCCAAATGGTCCACCAACAGAAATCTGGACCCATGAACGTTTGGGGTCTCACAGTTGCTTAGCTTACTTCAAAAGCTGTTGGACAAGGCAGATCCCCCTCCGCGATTAAAGTATATGTGCCGGTCGCTGCAGCGTTCGCTGAGTCGACGTGCAGCTAGTCAATAGGAAGAAACAAGCTTGTCATCAGCTTCCTTAGAGGAGCCAGGAGGATGAATCCCCCACGGCCCCGTCGGTTCCAATGTGGGATCTTTCTTTGGTCCTAGAGGCCCTGAAAACATATTCCTTTGAAATGTTAGATTCCGTGGATCTAAAGTACCTTTTGCTCAAAACAGCTATGTCATCATTCAAACATGTGGGGGATTTACACATGCTATCCGTTGGACCAAATGACTCTAAAGTCATCCTCAAGCCAAGACATGGCTATGTCCCTAAAGTGATAGACACTCTCTTCAGAGTGCAGGTCATTTCCCTATCGGCTCTGCCAGCATCCGATAGGGAGAGTGATGGCCTGGTCCAGCGGGATTTCAATTTATGACATTTGTGTGGCGGTGGGCTAGGCCTCCTCATCCCCATTTTGCCCCGCCTTGCAGGCTAGACTTCTGTCAGTATAAGTGGGATGGATGTTCTGCCCAGATGTTATCATGCGCAGGCTACTCTCACGTGACTTTAGCTCTCTCGGTTGAGCTGTGCTATTTGGATTGATATGCTTTATATAGACCGGCAACGCCACTCTGTATTTCCTATGGGTGATTTGCTGCGTTGCTGGCCGCCTGTTTTCCGCTTATCTGTGTTCCCTGGGATCCCTGGGATTTATGAAGACGACACTGCGTTGACAAAGGATTCCCGTAGAATAAGCAACATCCGCAATATGAGAGAACCTCTCGTAAGAGAACGTACTCGGATTCCTAATGTAAGCTTGGTTCTCTCTAGAAGAGTGAACGAGTATTGCGTAACCTGCCGAGCTCGCACCACTAGCAACTTTCGTTTCAGTCGATAAAAACCAGGGTAGCAGCCTCCGAGTCTCTCTTTTATATGCTAGGCCACACCAATTCTGGCGGGCTGTGACACAAAGCCCCCTCATTGGGCATGACGTCATGCGAGGCTCAGTGGTAGGCTGCTGCAGTAGCTGTAGGGCAGCCAATGAGTACACTAGACAGCCTGCTCTAGGTCTGCTAGCAGCTGCACTGCATTGACAATAAATACAAAATTAAGGATAATTTCTCAAGAAAAAATGACTTTACCCGTAGCGTAAGGAATTTAGGCACTACTCATTCCATCTTCTAGAGAGAACTGAGGTTACATTAGGTACCCGAGTATGTTATGTGTTGCTAATACAATTGGCCAGATTTACTAACAGCTTGCGCCAGCCCAAGCCCTCTTTTGGCATTAAAAAACTACTGTCAGGATTCACAAAAGACACGCAGAAAAAAGAATTGCGCTGAAAAGGCGTGGATACAGTTATTTTTGCGGCTGACTTTATTGCATGTGCATTTGAGTTTCCCTTTCAGGCACACAATTTATATGAGACTATTTAAACGAATCACGCAAGGTGTGGGTGTGGTGATGGTGTGGTGGATAAGACACGTGCCTTTGGTGTGAGAGACCCAGGTTCGAATCCACTGCAAAAGACACCAATGTGTTCCTGAGCAAGACACTTAACACCTAGTTGCTCCAGAGGCATGCAACCTCTGACATATATAGCAATTGTAATAGTTTTGGATAAAAGCGTCAGCTAAATGAATAAATGTAAATGTAAGATGATTTACTAAGATTTGCGCTCGTCAATGTACTGGTGTTTACGCCATTATTTACCGTCCCCAAAAAGAAGGTCTTAAACAAGATACTACCTGGTAAATTGCATTGGTCATTATGGAAATGATCTGACTGTGTCAGTGTTCTCTAATTTGTCCGGCGTAGTAGATCAGGCACAGAACTTTCCACTCTCATCTGCACTGTTTTGGAATTGCGCTCTCACGCTACTTTGCCATAGTAAATCTGCCCCATAGTGTACAAAAGTCATATTGGTACAAAAATATTCTTCAGGATATGAATGTCTACAATATACATAAATGACATCAATGAAAATGTAAATATAAGCTGTAAAAACAGATTACAGATTATTCAATAATACAAAGAGGTAATTATGTTTTACTTCTTCAAAGAAGGTTTAGAATATGAGTTTGAAGACAGACTATTTCTATTTGCGACAATGATTCATTTTACTAATGATGGAAAAATATAGAATGCCATTTCCAAATTACATTTAACATGGTCACTGCTCATGGTAAATCATGTGAGTTTTTTTTTTTTTTTTTCATGTCAGCTTCATAATCAGTCCAGATATGAATATTCACAGTTGGAGTTCCGCCCCGCCTGCCGAGAGAAAACTGGAGGGAGAGCGCAGGTTGTGTCATTAATGAGGCTTGTCAACATGAGTGGGTCTCATCCATTCCCATTCCCTGCAGCTGTCTGGAGATGTATGAAAACAGCTCTGCCATGGTTACCAGCATGCGTTTTTATTACCCTGCATTAGTGCATGATTAGCATCTCAGAATCTAGCAAGTGCTGCACTCATGCAAGGAGCCTTTGGCAAATGCTTTGGCTACGCATGTCATGGTGTCACTAAAATAAAAAAAAATAAAAAATAAACTTTTCTGTGCATAATTTCTCAAAACGCTGCTATCAGAGTGAATCATATCTGAAAACTAATCTGAACAGTTTGAAATATGATAGAGAGCTTATTGATTTACAAACACTGTAATTTTGTATTAATGCAGAATGGTCACATATTGGTAGATGAGTACTGATGAAAAATTGAATTAAATAAAGTCAAATGACCAATGTTTTTATTGGGCTCACATCCTAAGCTTCCAACGCTATTAATTTAGGCAGTATATTATTTTAGGCAGTATTGAGCATCATGTATGCAGGTTTGCTTGAATACTTGCATGATACATTTCAGCAATGACTAGTTCCATATGATCTTTGGATCAGTAACTGTCTCTAACCTGGAAGTAGGTGAACTGCGAGTGGTAAAGATCAGGATATATGTGCAGGGTGGTTCCCACTACAAGCAGTGACTCAAACTTGTGTAGAGAGGAACTGATGTAGCCATTGAAGCCCAAACACCAGATTTTCAGAAGAGCCTCCAAATCAAACAGCACAGTGAAAGCGACCTGAAAACAGCAGAGAAAGAGGCAGGAAGTATGATAATGGAGAGTCGTTCCTTGGTTTTGCAAAGGGAATATGCATGTGAATACATGGACATTCAAACAAAGAAGACTGAAGAACCATTTCCATTCACAATAACATCACTTTTCATTTAGAAGACAGTATATAATGTAGGAATTCAATCATAGTGAGATGCATTTAGACACAGGAATGTCAACAGAAGACAGAACACAAAACTAGTGTTCCCCAGTTTCCCCCCATTTGGTTTGATCCAAATAAAGAGCAGTGTGGATTAATGATGAGATGGATCAGCCTGTGACTATGTGGGACGTCTTTTCCTCCTTATCTCCGTCTTTCAGCTTGGAGTGGGCGGGTGGCCACTGTGCCACCTGCATACTGATTGCAGAGGCAGTTCATGGCAAACAGGACACATACACACACACATATGTACCTATCGGGCGCTAGCTAAAATGGAATGTTGCCCACAAGCTGTTTGCGCCCACGTTGCCACTCATTTGATTTAATCTCAGGGTTTTTAAGGCGACAGAAAATGATGAGGATTTGTTTCTATGAGCTTTCAGCAAAAGTCTTATCTGCCGACCCATTTGGGTGGAATAACAATATGGTTCCCTTTCAAGGGAACTCGAGCTGCGTCGAGACGTGGTGGGAACGCCCTGCGTGATTGCGTTGTGAAGCAAGTGTATAATGAGTCCAATGGAAAAACAAGATGTCATAGGCGGGTGACGTCATCGACCAGGAAGCTATAAAGCAGCCCTGAAAACAGACCGCATCAGCTTCTGTGCATTAAGCAAGCAATCTGTGTATTCTGTCTTTGTCATATTTATTGTTGTCTGTCAAGTTGCAATATATATATATATATATATATATATATATATATCCCTGCTGACATTACATCACGGGTGGGGACACACACATCAGCTTTCTGTAGCTGTTTAGGAGTGGAGCATGCCAACAGTCAGTTTTTGAGGGGGCTGACTGTGGGCATTGCAAGAAGCTGTCAGTGAGGACACTTCGTTCCGGGCGTTCTTCGAGGAGGACCGGGCGTTCTTCGAGGAGGACGCTTCGGTTCACATTCCGCGTGCGGGTCCCGCTGTTGCCGAGGCACGGCGGCGACTCGCATTTTGGGGTTCACAAACGTATCAGACAGCGGGAGTTGGGACTTTCACTTGCCAGATCCAGTGTGCTGCGATTTCCAGTTCCACCAGTCTAATGTTCCCGAGACTGCTGGGCGGGAGCAGTCTCGGCCTCATCATAGCTGCCAATTGTTTCCGATGATGGTGCTTGCTTCGAGGTTAGGCATAGACATATACACTAGACCTTACCTTGGGGTTCTAAGCATGCGTCAAAACCACCGCCATCTTGGAACAGGGGTCTTGTCATAGGAAGTAGCTAGGTAACGCTGCTATCTCTGCCTTTACTTCGAATTCATTGATGGTGACGGACTTTTGTGCAGCGTATGATGTTCACGGATGAAATCTGAACTAGGAAGAATGTTTTTTTTAAAAATCAATGGTATCAATGGAATCAATGATAAATACATGTCTGACCGTTGGAACAAACCAAAAAAACAAGAAAAATCGCATTCATGATGATTTATGGTGATTTTATTTCCGTTAGACCTGTGTCTACTACATTGACGCTGATGCATTAAAGTGGAGGGGCTCCCCTGTTTCAAGATGGCGGCTCTATTGACGCATTCGTTCCAATGAACTGCCGTATCCAAGGTGAGGTCTAGTGTATATGTCTATGGAGGTTAGGGAGGGGATCAACGACATTGCCGATGGTGCCACTTCTCGTGGGCAAGGAGGGCGATCCTTGAGCCACACACTCGTCCACAGATAGAGCAGGGGAAACCCTGCTCAGAGCAGGTGTGTATTTCCATATCAAGGGCAAAAGGGCAGAGTTGAGCAGCAAGAGGACAGAGTTGAACCGAGGTAGGTAAACTGATCTACATTTTTAAGTGTAAGTCTCGGCCTACTAAGCTCCTCGCAGCACTGAGTGCAAAACAGAGCGTCACCATTTGGTCAAAAGGATCTGTAGAAGGGGTTCCTGCTCCCTGCAGACAGTCAGGGTTTTACAGCCCTTACCTAGTTGTTTCCGAAAGAGGATGAGGGGTTGCGTCCTACTCTACACCTGTGTCAATTAAACAGCAGGTTTCAGAATCTCAATTTTAAGTATGATTACGCTAAATATGATTGTGTCTCAGATTCAGTCCGAGGACTGGTTTGTCACAATAGACTTAAAGAACACTTATTTATCTTTCCATCCTCATTACAGGAGGTTCCTAAGGTTTGCTTTTGGGGGCGAAGTATACCAATATCGGGTTCAATGTCGTTCTGTCTCGTTTAAAGATGTTGGGGTTGCCATTCAATGCCAAGAAGAGAGTAGTCTGAGGACTACTTTTCTAGGTGTAGCGATTCTCACAGGCGTAAATGGAGTATATCTAGGCCAATCAGTCAATGTGAAACAGTTTCAGACTGGTGGGTCTCATGGCAGCTGCGTCCAAAGTAATTACTTTTGGCCTTCTGTACATGAGACCCCTGCAGTGGTGGCTCAGGACCAAGGGGTTTTCTCCGAGGGAAAATCCGTTTTCGCATGATTAAGGTCACGCGGCTATGCCTACATGCCTCGGTTTATGTGGAAGAACCTTGGTTCCTCCCAGGCCCAGTGCTGGGGGCTTCTTGTCGATGCATAATGCTATCGACGGATGCTTCCCTCACAAGTCGGGGGTGATCATGGACATTTGGCAGGACCATCTACCTTTTAGCACATAACTGGCTAAAAGTGATGGCGGTATTACCGAGAATCTCAATACTTCCTGCCAGACTGAGAGGTCACCATGTGTTTGTCCTTCCGAACAACACACTGATGGTCTCGTATATCAGAGCAGATATCCTGTTGAGGCGGGGGCTGAGGCCCAGGGAATGGAGACTTCACCCCGAGGTAGTGGAGCTCCCTCCATAAGAAGACTAAATATGCATTGATATGAAAACTGTTCTCTGTCTGGTGCAGAGAACGCCTTCTGAATCTTGTTTTCTGCCCTGTTGGTACAGTACTTGATTTCTGTAATGAATGCTTCTTTGCTGGGTTATCTCTGAGGAGAGATCTTTAATTTCATCTTCTCTGTGGTACATGAGGCTGAGGCCTGCACATACTTATTTGCTCCTGGTGTAGTGATAGTATTTCCTCACCCCAGATGGGTTGTATTCCTAGGTCCCTACTAAGTCATTTGTGCAGCAGGCCTTCTGTCCTCCACCTTTAACACCCCAGATCAGGAATAACTTAATCTGTTATGCCCTGTTCGGGCTTTGGATACGTATGTCCACAGAGCTGCTCGGTGGCGTTTATCAGATAAATTATTTGTCTGCTTCGGGTCACCTAATATAAGTTGCCCTGCATCTAAACAGATGCTGGGCAAGTGGGTAGTTGAGGCTATCTCACTTGCTTATGAAGCAGCCGGGCAACCTTCACCTTTGGCTGTCCAGGTTCATTCTACGAGGAGTATGGCTGCCTCTATGGCATTATTCTTGGGAGTTTCCCTTCATGGCATTTGTGATGCGACAGGCTGGTCCTCACCACTTACATTTGCTAGATTTTATTTCTTGGATCTTGGCTCCACTCCAGGGTCTAGGGTGGTTGCTTCTTGTGTGTGCGTATTGACTTCACACAGAATAGGCATTTGTCATATGGTGTCGGTATAGGGTTGCCACTGCGTCTCGATGCAGGAATGTCTCAGGTTACGTATATAACTGGCTAACTGGTTCCCTGAGAGGGAATGAGATGCTGCATCTCCTTGCCATACTCCCTGCATGCCTGTGATCGACTTGCTTCGGCTTTTCAGAAGCTGACATGGTCTGTTTTCAGGGGTGCTTAATAGCTTCCTGGTCGATGACGTCACCCGTCTATGAAGTCTTGTTTTTCCTGATTATACACTTGCATTTACATTTGGACTGATTATACACTTGCTTCACGACGCAATCACGCAGGGCATTCCCACCGCGTCTTGACGCAGCGTCTCTTTCCCTCTCAGGGAACCAGGGTTACATACGTAACCTGAGACATTATTCAGTCAATCTCACAACAGATGACAGTGTAAAATTGTGTCTTTTAAAACTAATACACATTGCCAAGACAAAGAAAGCGCAGAACACCCACCCTGGAATGCAATAATATGACAAGAAATGTATAATTTTCAAATGTTCATTATCAAGTAGCATTTGACACTCCAATAAATATCTGTAAAAGATATGAAGACTTTCACAGTGGGATTCAAATTATGCAGCATTTGTAGCACCTAGCATAAAAAGTGATCAGGGTGTGACTAGTAACATCTGGGGCATCCATTTAAGGAATCAGATAAATACTCCCTAGTGAAAAATGTATTTATTTTTATTCCATATATTAATAAAATATTTAATAATTATAAAGAATAATTACTTTTTAAGTGCAATCTCATTGCTGTACACACATACACACACACACACACACACAAAAAACATAAAAGAAAATAAGGTCCAGGGCCATTTCTAAGTACCGATTTTGACAGGTCTCACCTCAGCCAGGTAGAACTCGTCATTGGTAAGTTTATGGTCCTCGCCCTTGTGGTAATTGCTAGCAGCTACAATCACGTCAACGGCCACCATACTGAGGATGAACATGTGAAAAACTGAAGATCGCATCAGTTTCTGCAGAGATGAGAGAAAAGATCAGATGCATTTGGTGAAACAGAGAAAACACAGTGTTGTTATTAGCTTTGCCACATGCAAACAAAGTCCAAATGAGACTTTCATTCAGTGCAGTCAACTTTTTTGTCAGCTGTGTGAATTATTTAAACTGTGCACGACCTCCATTCCTAGAGCTGCCATGCTGAGCATTATGATTTCTGCCATTCATTTTTATATGTGTGGTCAATCTCCTCTCCCTTTTAATGTCTCTGGATGTACACTCACCTAAAGGATTATTAGGAACACATGTTCAATTTCTCATTAATGTAATCTTCTAATCAACCAATCACATGGCAGTTGCTTCAATGCATTTAGGGGTGTGGTCCTGGTCAAGACAATCTCCTGAACTCCAAACTGAATGTCAGAATGGGAAAGAAAGGTGATTTAAGCAATTTTGAGTGTGGCATGGTTGTTGGTGCCAGACGGGCCAGTCTGGGTATTTCACAATCTGCTCAGTAGATGTCGCTCATCGCAAATCACATCACCGGCCTTGGGCCGTTCTCCCGGACATTTTGGGCGATCTTGAAACATATTTTCGGGCAGGCTCATCATGGAGACTCACTAGTAGCCTAGACTTGTTGCTTAACTACTGTGCTCTGTTACCGGTAGGCGTGGCCTCCTAGGGCAGCGAAGCAAGTGCATTCTGGGAGTTGTTGTCTTTCATCCACATAAGCCAAAAATACATTTTCTGGTTTTTCTCAGTCTAGAAAGCTCCAAATTCAAAAATAATTTCACATTTCTTCTACATAAATGACCCATTTTAAATACACATTCATCTTTCCAGAGGTGAAGTATTCCTTTAAGGCAGTTCTGAAAGCATAAGGGGGTCAATCACAGTATTAGTATGGTGTTCCTAATAATCCTTTAGGTGAGTGTATATCCTCCATTATGAACAAGCAGGCTGACCACACTGAGTGTAGTTGCTGGAAGAACATTATTTTCCACTTGATTCTCCACTTTTGTATGATTGAAGCTTTTAATCACAGTAGTAAGGACTGAGCCAAAAATGGACCATTCGTCCCTGAGCCCTCAGGAGGCCAAATTAACCCATCTCAGGCCCATTACAGACCCAGGAACATGAGGCAGGAAAAATAACTTTAATCGTGCAACACTGGATGAATTATAATGTAGGTATTTGATATGACAAAGAACCTCATTAAATCCAAATTGCATTATAAAGAAGCTTTCTTACCAAAAATCATGATATCTGGAATACTGTAATTGCATTTTTTTCTCTCATTTTAAATATTAAATTAAATCATATTACTAATGGTAAGCACTGAAAGGTTTCCAAAACCTGTTTCCTCTAGATCCGACACAGCCAAGTTTCTTCCAGTGAAACACTGACTAATAATAAGACATATTCATACATTTGTACAATAATAATACATTTGTCTGGAAGCCAGCATTCTAGATAAACAGTTGTCAGTGGAGCTGATATCATTCGTCTCGGAGTACAACCTACAACAAATATGCAAGCAAACAGAATATGAAAATAACTCCCTGACAAAATGAGAATGTGTTTATTAATATATATATTTACATCTACCTAGCATGATTTTATTAGAAACAGCTTTGCTACAATACATTTCTATTATTGCCAACACACTGATATTTTCTCAAATCACCCTATCACTAAAAAGTGAATAAAACCAAGTGAAATTTGTATAATAACCTGCACTTTTTATTAAGGTGAGTAAAATATGTATTGCCTATTGAGTTGTCTGCTGTTTAGCAAGTTATATTTGTTTTATCAGATGGGTCCACACCCGCTTTATACCCATGTTTTTTTTTTTGTTTGTTTTTGTTTTTCCTCTATAATTTAAAATAAAAACAAAACCCAATCAATTACTGTGCAGAAAACAAGGACAAGTTCAAACAAGGTTGTGTGATGACATGCTTCAACTACTGTAAATAAATAAATACGTATTATTGTGGAATTCCTGGAAAAACTACGCTACCCATAATCCTGAAGGATATCCATCAACCAGAGAAGTAACTGTTACCATGGAAACAGGAATCATGGGAATAGTGCTCAACATTGACCACCCACTCCCATAAAGCATTGGAAATGATGTAACTGAGTATAGTCTCTTTGCACTCTGAAACATCCTATATTTATATACATCTAAATAGTTTGCAATAAATATAAAATATACAGTAATATGACTGTAGAGGAAGAGTAGTAATAGTAGTGGAAGACACAGGGCAGGATGGAGTTTAGGGAGACCTGTTTGGAAGAAAAAAAAAATATATATATATATATATATATATATATTTCAATTATGTTTGATGCCCCTAATGGCACAAAAAGTGCATGCTGCACCTTTAACTCCAATTCTTTAGCATACAAAGGAAATATGCTACTTGACTAATGAGAGGACCAATTTCTCTTTCATTGTAGTATCAAGACTTGTACAGTATAAGCACTCACAGCTTGGGTGCATATATGTGTTATAAAGAAGACACATGAGAAGACACACCAAAGAGGTGTAGATAAAATGCAACGTGCAGTCGACAGTCCAAATACATGAATACAGCTTGAGGGTGGGTGGAAAAACTCAAACTGGAAAATAATCTGGAGAAAGAGGAAATGGAAATTTAAATAACCCTCTTTATTATTCTTTAATAAAGAGGGAGCAGAACCAGTCTACAACAGCATTAATCTGATATATCTGATACATCGAATAAAAGTAAAATGTAGTAATATTGTATTACATTATATACAGCTAAAGCAGAATATCTCCTTGTTCCAAAATCAGTTTTTTTGGCTTCCTTACAGACCACGTTTTTCACACTAGTCAACTAGTCAAATCGCTGAAAGCAAAAGAGAGTAAGAAGAAAGTAAATAGGAAATGATCTACTAAGTAGAGAGGTGAAAGACTGAAAGATTCTGTGTCAGGGTTCATGGGCAGATACAAAAAAAAATAGACATTCTCCCTCCGGGTTTGACATGTGGAACAATGTGGCCCCATGCCACATACAATCTTCAAAATAAAGCTTGCCTTTGGAAGGACAATGTGAAAAAGGGCATACAAGAAGAGATTATCTGAGAACAGATTTTCTCATGTGTCCAGAGGCTGTTCATCTGCCCAGAGATATATATATATATATATATATATATATATATATATATATATATATATATATATGGACAACCGTTCCTTAGACTTGACTATGCTGTAAATAGAACATAACATTTTTTTTTTTTTTTTTGTATTTGGCAATAAAACCATCCCTAAACATGCTAGGGCTCTGTTTGGATTGCAGCAAAGTCATTTAAAACATCCAATGCTTGAACACTATTAAATTCTCATTATACCATATCCCAACAACCAGCAACATGAAACCCAGAAAAATGTATGTAATGTAATGTTATGTAATATAAAATGTTATGTAATAGGGCTGGGCAATATGCCTGAAAACAGTATCACGATATAAGCGTTTCATATTGGTCGATATCGATAATTATTGATATTTTTCATGCCATTTTTCATGACATATTTAAAATAAGGACCAATAGAAAAATAAATTACATTTAAACATTTTTATTTTAAACCTAAAAGGATTATTTCACCTCAAAATGAAAATTTCCTAATCATTTACTCATCCCAATGTAATATCCATATTTGTCTTTCTTCAGTGGAAAATAAATGATTTTTTTTTTTTTTTTTTTGAGGAAACAATAGCAACTAACTGAGTTGAAGTTAAAGTTGAAGTCCATCAAATGAAGATAAAATCCTGAAATGTATTCCTCAAAATACTGTATTTTCCACTGAAGAAAGAAAAACATGGATATCTTGTATGGCATTGGGTTGATTAAAAAATAACCCAGAATATTCCTTATACGAATTCAAACTATACACACCTTCAAGATGCTAATGAATCTAAAATTATCTGTCAAATCTGTAAATGGAAAGTCTGTAGTCATACAGGACTTGTAGAGCTCAAAATATATCTAAAAGAATATCTCGAGGGAGAAAGGTGAAAGGACAGTCTGCTGGTCTGGGATCACAGCTCAGAATTCAACGAGAAGCCTCTATGACCAATATGGGACATGACAATGCAGTCTGACATTTTCAGCTTCTCGATGTTGGTTTTCCCTCGGGTGTTTCGGCTGAAGGGGGACTAACAGGTGATTTTCTCAGGGCCCTTGACTACACCTAAAAATGTTCCTAGCATTCTGAGGGTTTGAAAGCTTGCTTGTGCAATTCATCCATTATCTACTTCAAGACATGTCTGTGATGTGATGCCTATTTCTCTAGTATGGAACAGCACTGTCAATGCACTGAAGGTGTGGTGGCCTACTTCTTCTGATGTTGCTGGTGCCACATGAATACCTAGCCGAGCTGTCGCAATCAAATAAAAAGCAACCTTTGTAAGGGCAGGATGCATCTCTCTCCTTCTCTCCATTTCATTGCATTTGATGCAGCCCAATTTGTATGTTCCAAATCTTCCTCCAAACAGACATTCAGAGCATCTTGTTACTGCTCCTCCTTGTATGTTTGAAACTTCAGGCTTTACACCTGCAAGCTGACACACAATTAGTGTTCTTTACAGTAAGGTGCCTGTCGTGCTCCATCAGTTATGTGCCAAAATCAAAGACAGCAACAACTCAAAGGGTAGAACATTTCCTTATCATTCAGCGCACGTCAGCGGCATTTGACCAAACATTTACTGATTCCTAATGGAATTATTGCCCCCAAAATTGTCATTTTTACTCACCAACGTCATTCTACATCCATATGACTTTATTTTTTCTTTGAAGCACATAAGAAAGTCTCAAGACTTTGCTACACTCTTTTACATGTCATTACAATAAATGGGGACTATACTGAAATAAAATAAAATCTTTTTACAGGTTTTCCTTTATGAAGTTTGAACGCATTTGTTGTCATTGCATGACGAAACAACTTGTGCATGTCTTTAGAATTTAATTTGCACCACTTTTATTTTGCTCT